TACAGCGGGAGCCCCCAGGGCGGCTTTAGCGGGCACTTCGGGGGCAGAAGCTTGCAGAAGCCGGCTCACACCGCGGTGTGAAGTCCCTCATGAAGTCCATATCGGCTTGACTTGCCTCGCTGCCCTGAGGTAAAACAGTCCTTCACTTTACCTGGTGACAGGCAACCGAAGAGGTGTGAACACACGCCTCTGTTTGCAGTAGAGATACTGGTAGTGATAACAGAGGTTTCAGTCATCTGTTTGCCCAGGAAGCCGCTGTAAGCCCTTTTCTGTTTGATTAGTGGCACAAAATACACATGCCACCATTGCAATGGAGCTTTCAGCAGGACCTTTGGCAGCCAAGACACCAGGAGAGGATGATGGCACTGACCTTCTCTGATGAGGAGAGCCGGTGTGGTGGTGTGTTTATAGCATCATAGAATTAACCAGGTTGGACAAGACCTTTAAGATCATAAAGTCCAACCATTACCCCAGCGCTGCCAAGGCCACCACTAACCCATGGCACTGAGGGCCTCATTTACACTTCCAGGCATGGTGACTCCAGCCCTGCCCTGGGCAGCTGTTCCAATGCCTGAGCACCCTTTGGTGAGGAATTGTTCCTCAGCTCCATCTAAACCTCCCCTGGTGCAGCTTGAGGACGTTTCCTCTTGTCCCATCCCTTGTTCCTTGGGAGAACAAACTGACCCCCATCTCGCTCCATCCTCACGTAGTTGTAGACAGCGATAAGGTTCCCCAGGTCCCTCAGCCATTCCTCATCACACTTGTGCTCTAGACCCTTTGTTGCCTTTCTCTGGCCCTGCTCCAGCACCTCAATGTCTCTCTTGTTATGAGGGGCCCAGAACTGAACATAAGATTAAAGATGCAGCCTCACCAGGGCAGAATACAGGGGGATTATTTCCCATTATGCATGTTCCTCTCACGGCACTTGCTTTCTATTTTGATTCTGGTTTGGGGCAGCTGGAGGATTTCAGTCCCCACTATGCCTGCCCTGGTCTCACATGCAGCCTGGTTTTAAATTACTTCCCCTTTTGTCTCCAGCCTGAGTCCATTCAATTGCCAAATCCTAGATCATAGAATCATAGAATAGTTAGGCTTGGAAAGGACCTTAAGATCATCCAGTTCCAACCCCCTGCCATGGGCAGGGACACCTCACACTAAACCGTGTCACTCAAGGCTCTGTCCAACCTGGCCTTGAATACCGCCCCAACTTGGGCAACCCATTCCAGTGCCTCACCACCCTCACAGTAAAGTTCTTCCTTATATCTAACCTAAATCATCAGTATGGGCTTCCTGCTAACCATAAATTCTTTTGTTTCCCCTCCTACTGAAACTTGGACATGGTGAAGCAAATCACTGTTTTTTAGAGAAAAATTAGTAAACATGGTGTTGGTATAAAGGTTTGGTAAATTATGTGTCTTCAATTTCATGTGGTTCATATGTGGCCCTTCCTGATGACAAAATCAGTGACTGGATCATGCTTTTTGCAGTAAAATTCTGGCTCAACAAGCCTTTAATAAGGCTTCCACTCAGTTCACAAGGATCAAAGTAAAATGGAGACCTTGTGAAAGCTTAAAACTTGGTTTCCCCCCAAAATAATCTTCATTGAAGCATCTCTCATCCACAGATCCTGTTTATTCATCCTAACGCAGCATGCTAAGCTGTATGTGTTCAAACCCACACTGAACTCCTGTTCAGTGCAGAATAAGAAACACCATTTGGTACATTAATTAGAAGTGGGGGCCTTTTTGGCATTCTTGGTCCATGGCATGGAACATATTTTCCTGTTGTATTAAATACCTCTTTTCTTCCCCACCTCCCCACCCCCAGCAGTCCCAGAGAAGAAAGAAGATGGGGTAAAGCAGCCTTTTTACACCAGACAAACTGTATTAGCTGGTATGCTTGGCCCCTGCTGGATGGAAATGGAACTGATGTTCTGTTTTGCCCAAACCCTTTAAATAAGAACTTTGGACCCAATCATAGAGAAAACCAGGTTCTTGCTGCTAGGAAGCTCCAGACGGCAAAAGTCTCCAGCACTGGGACAAGTGACAGCTGTAAAACTGTGTACAGGGTGTGTGCTGTGTCTGTTAGAATGTGTTCGCTCCTATAAAGTTCAGTTTAGTGTTTTGTTCTTGAGGTGGATTCAGATGAAATCTGTGGGATTACGTACCTGAGGGCTGTCCCAGGTCAGACTGATTGCCAGCTCATCGCTTGAGTGTTTGCAGCAGAGACTGAAAATGCCTGAAAGATAGGAATGGTGAGGACTCGGATTCGTCACTTACTTCAAAGAGTCTGCAACAAGTTCACAGCCTGTCCCCGTGGTTCCTCTGTGCTAGTGTATTAAATCTGGAGAATCTAACTCGGATGCCACTGATTCAGCCTGGAGAAGAGAAGGCTCCTTAAGGGGAGACCTTAGAACAGCCTTCAAATACATAAGGGGAGCTTACAGGTAAGTAGTAGAGGGCCTGTAGGGATAGGACAAGGGGGATGTCTTTAAACTGACAGAGGGGCAGTTTAGATGAGCTCTTAGGCAGAAGCTCTTCCCTGTGAGGGTGCTGAGGCACTGGCACAGGGTGCCCAGAGAAGCTGTGGCTGCCCCATCCCTGCCAGTGTTCAAGGCCAGGTTGGACACAGGGGCTTGGAGCAACCTGCTCTAGTGGAAGGTGTCCCTGCCTGTGGCAGGGAGTTGGAACTGGGTGAGGTTTAAGGTCCCTTCTAACCCAAACCATTCTATGATTCTACAATTCCATTAGTGTACTAATATTTCCCTGGCTGGTGGCTTTGACCACATCATCTCTTGCTTTAGATCCTCTATTTGTCTCCTGGGCCCCAAGCTCTTTTCTTCCCCTGTAGACCCTTCTGCATTGTTAGGTTAAGTGACAAAAGGCTCTTTTCCATACACACAAAGGAAGGCTGAGGAACAAATGTATGTGGAGAAGCTTAAGCATCATCCTGCCTGTCTGCTTCCAAGCCCATCATAGGATCTCTCAGCCAAGTAAAGGTTCATCCTCGCACACACAAATGAGCACAGATGCACAAGGGCATGTCAGGGAGCACGAATACCCGCTTCAAAGGCACCACCATTCCCAGGACTGTCCCAAGGGATCTTCAGCAGCTTACAGACTTGGGGGGATCGCTGCCTGTGGGGTGGAAAACGTGGTGGGGTGCAAGGGAAGAGGATTTCCAGATGCATAAGAGCTGCTATGGGATACTCAGGGAACGAGCTAACGGTGGGGAAAAAGGAGGGATAAATCTGGGATGTCTGGCCATATACACGCCCTTGTCACTGCTCTGTGTGCAGGAGGCCCATGATCCCACCACAGCGCTGTGGCCTGGGATGACCGCGCTCTCCCCACTCAGCCGCGCTCTTTACGCGGGCTTTTCCCCGGCGGCAGATACCGCGCGGCCCGCCAGGGGGCGCTGCTGCACCACGGAACGCGCCTATGGGCGGGGCGAGGCTCCCCGTTGCCTCGGCGACCGGCGGCTGTTGGCGCTGCTGCGGGAGGAGCGTGGCGGGTCCTGACTGAGTGAGGGCCGGGCACCGGTAGCGGCGGGGCCTCGGGGGTACGGGGACAGCGTGTGGGTGCTGTGGGGGTACGGGTGGGACCCGGGGCGGTGTAGCAGCCTCGGAGGGACCGGGAGTAGGGACAGCGTGTCGTGCAGTGGTGACAATTTAGGCCTTGGGGTGCTGAGGGCCCTGAGGGAGACTTGGATGTGAATGGTGGTAGGGTGAGGGGAGACACCCCAGAGCCTGACTGTGTAGGGAATTGTTTGGACGTGGGTGCTCAGAGCGACAGGGGACAGCATAGGGCAGAGGCTTAGGTACAGGGTGACAGCGACAGCGGGGTCTGGTGGCTGCGGACAGTGTGAAGGGTTTGGCCACTGGTGATGAAGGGGGCAGTGGGGAATGCAAGGGACATGCAGGAAGGATTGCGTAGGAAGGGACTGAGAGCAGGGGGAATCATTAGCCTCCTTTGAAGACTAGGAAGGGGTTATCGTGTGGCTGCAGGGTGCTGAGGTAATTACTGATGGGCAATGAGGGAGTGGAGGCTACTTCAGTGGCAGCTGCTTGAGCTACAAGGGAGTAATGTGAGTGTATCTGGGATCTCCTTGCTGCTTCTGAGGATGTCCTGGCAGTGCAGTTATCAGTTGTGAAGGTGCTGGTAGTGGTAATGGGGAACTGTTATAACCTATTTGGGAGAAGAAATAGATATTGTGTTCTGCAAATGGTTTAAATCTGCAGACAATTCTCTGTTCCCCCCAAAAAAGTTCCCTTCTCTCAGATGTATTTTTGGTGTCTTGTAAAATCCAGCAAATTAGAGTATGGTTTTGTTGCCTTGTACAGCTTGGAGGCTTTCTTGTTGCTCCCTGTACAGGAAGAATTTAATAAATACATCACTGGAGCCCATCTGGGGCTGGAGTGCCAAGAAAAACCCAAACCCTTTTCAAAGTACTGCTGCTCAGAACGATTCAGTTTGTGCCCAGCTTTAGGGAGGAGATTTGATTATCCATTTAGTGTAAGGGACAGAAGCAATCGTTATTAATAACAACAGTAATTCTTCAGATTGTGGTACTGATCTTACATTTCTGAGGAAAATCAGTAAAGTAACTGCTCAAGTGAATCAATGGCAGTCCAGTTAATTCTGTGCTGAAGAATGACAGATTTGTTGTTATACGTAAAGAATGCATCCTGCATTTGTGCATTTGGGCTGGGAATTTTAAGGGGATTTATGGAAGCCAAGTACCAAACTTCCTTTACCAAACAGTCTGTACTAAACTTCTGAGATTTTTCTCTTCATTTACTTGGCCTCCTTTTAACATCTCAATCTTACAACCGTTGTGTGTTCAGGATGTTTAAAAGTTCCATGAAAAATATCAAATTGGTATCTGCAAAGGTTGTGTATAAATATTAAGGACTTAATATGGCTTCAGGCTCAAGTGGATGCTCAGGTGCAAAAGGATTTGTTCTTGGATTGGTAAATGTCAGGTTTACTAAGTCACTTGGTAATGGGATGGCATTGAAGTTGTACAGTAGAAACATTTTACTAACGTGTAGCAACTGTTAAAACTTTGACCTGGGACGTTTCAGAAGTTCAAGCTATTGCTCGTGGGAGTCAGAAGTTTCCAGATTTCTGCAAATGGAATTAGCTGTATCGGTGACATAAATAATCAGGGGGTACAAAGACAGTGATTAATAGCTCTAGGCAATTATCCCTGAGTGTGAACTTCTCTTCAGCAGGAGAACAGGTAAAATCTGCACAAGCAGGTTTCCAGTAGAGTGGGAGTAAAATTCTTCTGAACATCACGAGAAAGATATTCCAAGGTGTGAGCAGCTGCGTGAGGATATTAGCTCCAAAGTATGTTTACCCTTTCTTTCACTTCCCTTGCAGAGCTGCCTCACAGTGAGCATTCCTCTTACACACCTTTCTGTGCCACACAGCTTACTGCCCTCAGCCCCCTCACTTGTTTCAGCAGCAGACATCAACTGCTCATCTAGGGTAGGAAGTTATTTTGGATACAGAAGGCTGACCTTGCCTTGCTTCAGGGCCAGCCTATGGATTAGAGTGCATCTGTCAATAGTCACTTTAACTTCATTCCCTTGATTTTACATCGATTTGGCAAGCTTGTTATGTGGCTTTCCATGGATGTTTTTTCTGTTTCCTTGGGCTCATTTTAATAGGAAAAGTATCCATCCTGCTGTAGTTAGTCACAGTTATTACTTTAGTTACTAGCTATTCTATTAGTTGTTTTCAATTTTAGCTATTAGAGTGATAACTGTTAGAAAGCAGAATTTGAAGACAGAAAAGCAGTTTAATATGAAAACAGGTTACGTAAAATGTTTATAGTCATTCAGTAATAAAACCTCCCATGTTACATGAACTAATCTAGTTCTGGCATTTGATCACGTGACTGCTAAAAGTGAGTAATCTTCATAAAAGCCCTTTCTTGTGACTTTTATTTTATATAATATATGCTACCGGTTCCATTACAGAACTGTTCATTGTCAGTTGAATCCTGAGGTTGGCAGTTGTGACAACATGCCCAGGGAATACTGCTGACATGCACTGCCCTTCAGAGAGCGGTTTTGTTCCAGCTCTGACAATGAAAACTGAGTTGCAGTGAAAGGCAAATATTCATGGTGCTAGGAGAACAGAAGGAGAGGGAAAGAGATGCATATTAACAAGGGGACTCGATAAAAGAAGCCTAATAAAGAAACAGAGACAAAGGACTGGGAAAGGAACAATTCCTTGTTTGATTTGCAAGAATGTAAAACCTAGTAATTAGTGACAGAGGCCACTGTTCTCAAACTCAGGGCAACACTTCAGGATGTCATAAAACCAAGGGCCTGAGTGCTATCCTGGGCAGGATTATTGCTGTCAAAAAACCCCTCTCTTGTTTTGTTTATTTTGGAACAGTTAGGAACTTGTCACAAGTGACAAAATCTGGTGAACATATGACATTTTAGAAATCATTAATTTCTCTTTATTATTCCTTCTTTTCTGCTTGCTCTTACCTCCCTTTTAGGTCTAACTTCTAGCACAAGTGTACCAAAAAGCATGGAAGAAAAGAAGAAAGAGGAGAAACCAGAAGAGCAATTTACAGACCCTGAATCAGCTGTCCCAGAATCCTTACTAGAGTTTCAGTAAGAATTAAGATATTTATTTTTTTAAGATATTTAACTTTTCATTGATATAGAATATGTGAATGGATAAAGCAGATAACAAAGACAACTTTTCCAGTTCAGAGCCTGAGCTGATTGACTGTATTTTTCTTTCTTTCTTCCTCTCTCTTCTCTTTCGCTCTTGCTCTATAATCTGTAACTTCTCTGTAACACTTGATTGAACAAGCAGCATAATCATAGCATCATAGAATGGCTTGTGGTGGAAAGGACCTTAAAGCTCATCCAGCTCCAACCCCCTGCCACAGGCAGGGACACCTTCCACTAGACCAGGTTGCTCCAAGGCCTGTCCAACACTGCCTTGAACACTGCCAGGGATCATACAAGTGAATATCTGTCACATTCTGCTTTAGGAATTATCAAGTGTGTAGTATTTGTTTAACTTCCATTCCTGCTTTTTCTTCTGGATATTGAAGCATGGATTCTCTAGTGAGTTTGTTATTTTGCAATTCCAGTACAGGATTGCTTAGGAACAACAGTCCCATGAATTACTTTCCTTAGTAACATCCTATAGATGACTGACAAAATTGTCATGGTAGTGGAGTGTTGCTTCTGGATGCTTCAATCATCTAGATGAAACCTACTACAAAGAGTTGAGAAAAACAGTATCATCAGTCTAACTGGTTTGTAGCTTTCACCTGAGAAATACCATAGAACTATAAAGAGGAAAGCTCCAATAGCAGAGAAAATAGCAAATTCTACTCATATAATTTTTCTTACATTAACCAAGTGATGGATACAGACTGCCACTTCATGGAAAATATTAAAGTAGCAGAAATGAAGACCATAGCAGCTTTCTAACTCCAGAAATGGTTTAAAATGGCAGGTCATTTAGGAGGTAACACTGTGTGGCCAAGCTGTCACCTCTGCCTAATGAGTGATAGATTTTTGCTGTAGCCATATCCACATATCTCTGCTCTAGTCTCTCTAACTAATATCCTTGTACTTATTGGAAAACCTGAAGGATACTGTGGAACATATTGGCACCGGAGGATGCAAATCTAGTAACCTTCAATGACTGAGTGATCCAAACTTAGCCAGGAAAAAATTATCTTCTTTTAAAATAACTTAATACAATAGGGAGGGGCAAAAAACAAAACCCCAAAACAAAACCTCAAGGAAAAATAGCTGCTGAAACAGTAAAAGATATTGTGATAATTGTAATATTTGCTCTATTGTGCCATTTGGTGAATGAATTCTGGGATTAGAAGGAAAGATTATAGAGAATTTTGCAAATAGACACTGTTAGCAACCCAGTGTTTCTCATTCTAGGAGAGAGAACACACAAAAAATGCTTATTTTACAGCTGTGGCAAAGAGGATGACAAGTAGTCTATGAACATTGTGAAAGCAGCAAGCTAGTTCTCTGATGAAAATGTATAAACGTTCTCAGAGGATACTACTCAGGCTGCAGTCCCTATTCCCTTAGTGCTTCTTAAAGGCTGACAAGTTTTTAGTGTACAATGCAGGTTATGAATCACAACAAGCCACATTTCCAGAAGAATTTAATCCCATTGAATTCTCCAGTTTGGGATTCAGCTGAGCTGTGTCTGACCGAATTGCCTCTGTAGCAGAGAAGTAAGTATTTCTGGAGCACAAACCATCTTGTCCTGAGAGAGACCTCTGTGATAGGTCAGCCAAACTTCACTCAGAGAGAAGAAACCAGCTTAATCCTTTCTAGCGGTTACAAATGAACAGAATAATCAGGGATTCTGTTTCTGTGAAGGTCTAAATGTATATGGGAAATCATTTCTTTATGTGTAGTAAGCAGACAGCGGCATCTACCCAGGTGAGTCTCAGTATGATACACAGACATTTCAGTTGTATTTACATTAACCTAGTTTAAATAATACTCCTCTCCTGTTTTAATAAGGATGTCTCTTTACTCTTTCTCTGCAGAATTGAGGCAAAAGAAGAAGCAATTGATAAGCTTTTGCTTGCTTTGAAACAACTGGAAGAAAAGAACAAAGAACATTATGAAAGAGTAAGTGGCCATGCATCCTTCTCCCAGTGCATTTTATATGTGGTATTTTAACTCAGATTCAATTTTACTCTTTTAAGCCTAATACTACATTGACTAAAATTACCCCTTGCAGTGAATTTCTTACAGTCAATGTAACTAGAGTTAGGAAGTGCTGAAAGTTAAAGTGTTATCTGAATTAAATGTGACATAAAGCTTAAATATCCTAAATATGCAAAAAGGAGCTGCAGGAGTAGAGCATTGCAGAATAGGACACAGCAGTAAAGTAAAGTGAGTTCAGTGAAGGTGTTCTCCAATCTAGATTTAGATTAGATATAAGGAAGAAGTTCTTCCCTATGAGGGTGCTGAGGCGCTGGCACAGGGTGCTCAAAGAAGCTGTGGCTGCCCCATCCCTGTCAGTGTTCAAGGCCAGGTTGGACATAGGGGCTTGGAGCAACCTGCTCTAGTGGAAGGTGTCCCTGCCTGTGTCAGGGGGCTGGAACTAGGTGAGCTTTAAGGTCCTTCCCAACCCAAACTGTTCTGTTTCTACCAATGCATGTGAGATCCTCAGTAACTACTTAAGTATTTAATCCTACTCTGCAGCAAACACGGGTCAGCAACCCCCTTTCAGTAGGTAACTGTGCTACAATATCTTCAGGTGTGCCTTTTTAAACAATACTGCAATATTTCAGCATACAAAGAATAAACAGTATTAACTTAATTTCTCTCAGCAGTATCAGCAGATCTGACCAATTATTGAGATTTGCAGACCTTTGATTCACTTCTGAGATCATGGAATTGCACAGGTTTCTATGAGAGCTTATTGATTCTTGCAAACTTAGTGTGAAAACTGAGCAAAAGAGAGTGAGTATCATGCAGTTGTCTAGGTGCAGTTTTTGGCACTGCTTGGTAAAGACTCACTTTCCTGTGGATTAAGATTTGTTTTGGGTCTGTTTTAGAACAAGGTTATGTGACTATTGATGGCACCTGAGTGACACTTTAAAGAACTGTATATATGAACTGTATATATGAACTGTATATAAAGAACCATAATATGGCATATAATGACTGAGACTGAATTTTGAAAGTAGATATATACAGTTACCTAATGAAATAAATAGCTCAAAAATCCTTAAATTGGATTATGTGATTGAACACTGTTGCAGGCTGCACCACTCCCTAGAGCAGGAAAACTGCCTCTTTATCCTTCCCATGCTGATACTTCCCTGTATCTGTTCAGATATCCATCTGTTTAGCTTTTCTTGGTGTTACTTTCTGTCTTGAAGTATGGATGGTGTTTCATTTGTGGCCTTAACTATCAGTGGAAGTATCATTTGGCTCTTCTCTCTGCAGACATCTGAAGTCTCTTATGGTTCTTCCCCTAGTCTGCTGCTAGTTCATGATCTCACAAAGACTCCTTCGTATTTTAGGTTGTGCAAGGTACCTCAGGGCAAACTTGAAGTAATATTTGCTTAATTTACCTATGTTTTGACAGTTTTTTGAGCTCCATCCTTTATTTTCTTAGTGATACTGTGTGGTTTAGAGTTAATCCATTCAGAAGTGATGAATGCTTGAGACTGTATACTGAACAGTCACTGTTACAGTTATGGTATCCTTTGAGAGCAAACATACATGAAATTACTGACCGTGTAACTTGAGTGTCACTTGAGAGGGCCATGGTGAGGGGTTATAATCACAGTTGTGGAATCAGTCAGTATAATTAATTTCAGCTCTTTACAAGACTCTCTACTATGGGTATATGAAAGTGATCTGCTTGACTGATGACATTTCTACCCGAAGCTGGTACATTCTCATCAAGAACGAATGTGAGGTAAATAACTCCTACAAATAACTACTATTATTAAACTGACCCACAGGAGTCCTACAAGGGTACCAGAAAGAATCTATGACTATTGATGTTCTGCACCAAGTCCAGCAGTCATTTGTCTTTCATTTCCTTGTAATAGTCTTGAAGTTACTGAGGAAAATTCTGAGACTTGCACACTGTGCTTTCTGCTCCATCCTTTTTGAATATAGAATCAAGAACAGTTAGGATTGGAAAGGACCTTGAGATCATCCAGTTCCAACCTCCCTGCCATGGGCAGGGACAACTTGCTCTAGACCATGTCACCCAAGACTCCATCCAACCTGGCCTTGAACACTGCCAGGGGTGGAGCATTTACCACTTATCTTGGCAACCCATTACAGTGCCTTACCATCCTCACAGTAAAGAACTTCTTTCTTATATATAATCAAAACTTCCCCTGTTTAAGTTTGAACCCATCACCCCTTGTCCTATCACTACATTACCTTAATAAAGAGTCCCTCCCCAGCATCCTTGTAGGACCAAGATGAGGAGATGTTTAGCTGAGTGGTTTTGCAGTGCATCCTGGCACAGGGTCAGATTTTACTTTTCTTCACTACTTACACTTGTCACTTTGAAAACCAATTTGAAACTGGTTTTATACATGCTTTTTCTTCTGCTCTTTCATAGTATGAGCTGCTGAAGAAGGAATTGCAGGCACGGATCAGGCGCTTACTGGAGCAAATAGAGGAAGAGCAGAAAGAACGAGATAAGAAAGGGATTGTAACTAGGGATGATGTGGAGAAGTCGCTGATAGCAACATGGCAGTATGTTAAGGACAAAGAACAACTTCTGGAAGGTGTGCTGTGAGTTGTGGAAGTTGCAGCTGACACCCTTGGGATTTAGTACTTCTTTTTGTATTTTAAATCAAGATTCAACTCCCCTGTTGAAGCATAAAGCTTTTCGCCCTAAAATTAAGCTCTCTCAATGTGGTAAGAGACTGTAGAGGGTTTGTAAGTAAATCTGTTCCTTCCAAGTGATGCAGACCACTGTGCACATGCAGTGGCAAGTCATGAAAACCCAATGGCTCCAATGGAAGATTATGATGGCGGCAAAAGTTACCAATTTTGATTGTTTAGAGTCTTGGCTACCATCCCTGTGATTCTCTGTGGGACACGCATGTGCATTTGGTTACATTTCAGTGAGAACTGTTGGCTCTCCTTGGCAGAAGAAGATCAAGCTGTTTTCAGCAATGATGGTGGCCCTTGGCACTGCATGAGGCATTCATGTTGTGAAGTATTGTGGGGTAGAAGAAGCACTCTTCTTTCTCCAATCCCACTGAAAGTGCCTTTATTAAAGATTTTGATGAAGTAAGAATTATGAACTATCAGTTCAAGAAGCTGGTAATGAACCTGCCTTCTCTTATTCTGATTTTCATAGATCTGCACTCCCAAATTGAAGAAACCAACCAAAAAATCTCAGTAAAGCAGAGAGAGAAAGATGATTGCTTGGAGTACAAAAATGTAGGAAGTAAAATAGAAGCTAAGAAGATTCTGAGTCTGGAAAAAGACATTAAAGAAGTCAAAGATGCTTTCCACAGAGCTACAGGTCAGTTTACAGCTGTAAACATTTTTGGTCAGCTACCAGCTGCAAACATTTGCTTTACAGCTGGTGTAAAGCAAATCTTAGAGGCCTTTTGTATATTACTTGCCCAAATTAATTAAATTTGAAGTCATATTCTGATAATTTCTGTGAAGTTTTCCAAGACAGTGTACCTGAGGAGGGCTGCATAATTGTATAAAATGGAAAGTCTTTCCTTTCCCCTTTCCTTTCCCCTTTCCTTTCCCCTTTCCTTTCCCCTTTCCTTTCCCCTTTCCTTTCCCCTTTCCTTTCCCCTTTCCTTTCCCCTTTCCTTTCCCCTTTCCTTTCCCCTTTTCCTTTCACTTCCCCTTTTCCTTTCCCCTTTCCTTTCCCTTCCCCTTTCCTTTCCCCTTTCCTTTCCCCTTTCCTTTCCCCTTTCCTTTCCCCTTTCCTTTCCCCTTTCCTTTCCCCTTTCCTTTCCCCTTTCCTTTCCCCTTTCCTTTCCCCTTTCCTTTCCCCTTTCCTTTCCCCTTTCCTTTCCTTTCCTTTCCTTTCCTTTCCTTTCCTTTCCTTTCCTTTCCTTTCCTTTCCTTTCCTTTCCTTTCCTTTCCTTTCCTTTCCTTTCCTTTCCTTTCCTTTCCCTTTTTCTTTCTGCTTTCCTTTCTCTCTTCTTTTCTCCTTTCTCCTTTACCCTTTCTCCTTTCCCCTTCCTCATTTCCTTTCTCCCTCCCTCCCTTTCCTTCCCTTTCCATTTCTTCCCTCTTCTTTTTTTTTCTCTTTTTCATCTATTTCTCTCTTTCTTTCTTTCTCCCTCTCTCTCTTCCTCTGCGAAAGTCTCTTTAGTAAAGAAACAAAGTGAAACAGGAATTATGAACACTTCAAGAAACTGATCAGTTTGTCTCCTGACAGCTTCCTTGTCAAATACAGGCAGCCCATTTCTAAAAACTGTTCCTGTGAAGGACAGCAGGTTTCTAAATATAAGTTACATCTATTGAGGTCACCTACACATAGGACTCCCTCAGCAGTCATGCTGACTCTGCTGCTGTTGCTTCTTATCATGCTCCAAGCACTTCACATGTGGAAAACTCTTTTGATGGGAAAGTGCTATGAGCTCATTCTTGGAAGTCTTTTCAGCTGAGCATGGTTGAAATGCACAAGTAGAGGGAGCTGTCGTGCCAGTGGTCTGAACTTTGTATAGTCCCATGCATGAGGCCCTGCAAAACTGCCACTACAGACATATACAAATACTGGGAACTGTTTCAAGCCTGACACAACAGTGGAATGAACTTGAGAGCTTATGTATTCTGCTGTTGAGTGCTTCACAAAGGTTTTTTTACTACTGCACTATTTTAAAACCTTTTAAATAGTTTTGCAGTTACATATCCCATGCTTCCAACACGACAAGGATGTCTTGGTTTTTCTCCTTTATGGCCCTCTCAGTATGCATAGCCACGGCCAAGCAGCTGGTAGTAACAGGCAGTGACACTGCTCTAAGGGTCTCTGTATATTCTGTGCCAACCATTACCAGGCATCAAGTACTGTGGATAAGAGCCAGATATCTTTTTGTCTTTTGAAACATATTTGATCCCAGTTAAGACCTGCACTGTGCTTTCTACATCATCAGATAGCTTGTCAGATATCCATGTCTGTATTCAGGAGAGGTTGATATTTTTCATTATGTGTTTTCCATGCTCTGAATCAATCTAAAACTTTGCTATACAGCTGCTGAGCTATGGAATGAAAAAGAGAATGGGCTTTTATATAGAATGCCAGAATGAGCCAATAGGAACATTCTGTCTGACCTGCATGTCACAGGGTTCAATTTGTGGTCGAATGGAAGTGTATTTATAGAAAGACTGTTACAGAGGTACATATAGCAGTTGCCTAGTTAACATACTACAGAATGATGCTGCCAGTACTGGATGTTAGCAGTCTATTTTACTCAGCTTCCTAAAATCTAACATATAAAGTGGCTGGGGAGTACAGTTTTCCAGCCTATCAAAAAGAAAACAAACCCAAACCCAAAGAGAAATAAATCTAACAAGCTGACAGAGTGATGCAGCAGCAAACTGGGCTTGTTCACTCCCTAAATGTGTAACAGGTTTATGGAATAAAACAAGCATAAGTGAAGAGGTTTCTATCTCTGTAGGGCTCGATGTTGGCACAGTTCATGTGGTCTGGTGATGACAGCTTAAACATAATTGCTGGAAGGGAGAAGAAACAAAAGAGTGCCCTACACTTACGTGAGGTGTGGGGAGAACAGTGTTGCTGTGAGAGTTAGGGCAAATAGCCTCCTTAGAAACAGTAAGCATATGTGAAGTGTTCCTCCTTTTCTGCATTCTCCCAGCACAGCTCAGGTTGTTTAGCTGTGTGAAAGAATGAAAAGGTGAATTAATAATAGTCTGTAAGTACTTCCATTTCATTCTGCCAAGTCTACATGGCAGGTTGATTAAGGCAGGCCAGCTTTTACTGTGTTAAGAACTAATGCACAACTAATGCACCTTTCATATTTGACAGCCTTTGACTCCACAATGGGTCCATGACCATTTACAGCCAAGCCTGCAATAGGCTGTCTGCAACACAGTGCAGAGCTAGGCTGAATTTCAAGCCTCTGGAACAAGTATGAAGTGCTTTCCTTCAAAGAAAACTAGTACAATCTCATTCGCTCCTTCAAAAGGAGAAAACCCCAAGCAGCAGGGGGCTGTTTTGCATAGCACAGAAACAATTGAAAGGAAGGATGCAATAGTTAAATAGCAAGTGACTAGAGCTGGAAGCTAAACAAATTCAGCCTGGAGAAGGGAAGCTGTGTGGAAACCTCATAGCAGCCTTCCAGTATCTGAAGGGGTCCTACAAGGATGCTGGAGAGGGACTCTTCATCAGGGACTGTAGTGGTAAGACAAGGGGTGATGGGTTCAAACTTAAAAACAGGGGAAGTCCAGGTTAGATATGAGGCAGAACTTCTTTACTGTGAGGATGGTGAGGTGCTGGAATGGGTTGCCCAGAGAAGCGGTGGCAGCCTCATCCCTGGCAGTGTTCAAGACCAGGTTGGACAGAGCCTTGAGCAACATCATCTAGGATGAGGCACCCCTGTCTATGGCAGGGGGGTAGAACTGGATGATCTTGAGGTCTTTTGCAATCCAAACCATTCTGTTTCTATGTGAAATTCCGGTTTATCTATTAAATGTCAATTATCTAGTTGTTAGGAGAAATGGATGTCAAATAATGATTTCTGATTTCCTTCTTTTCTTTGTTTTGAAGAATATTACAGAAATGCCTTGAAAGCAATGGAAGAAGAAAATGCCAGACTGGTTTTGAAGCACATGGACTTAGTTAAGGAACAAGCCCCTGAGGTATTCCTTCTGCCTTTTTACAAGTGCTAACTGTATCATAGTTAGGATTCGCGTACTCTGCATTAATAATTATTTTCACTTGAATTAAGACTTAGAACTTTTCTAATAACTTGAGAGTAAAATAAATGTACATTTTCTTACCAGACATGACATCGGTTATTGTTATACACACGTGTACTTTTGGTTTCACATCAGACTAACAATGAATACATGTGAGGTCATTTTCCAAGCAAGGTATGGGAAACTGGGGCACCATGGACTGACCTCACTTGTTCAAGAGCAGGTCACTTTTGCTGTGACTTCAAACAGCAATTAACACACTAAGAGATTGTCTGCATTGAAATATACATCAATTTGAAAAGTACTTTTAAACTTACCTACTTTAAAACATTTAAAATGTCAAAATAGTGCAGTCTGCAGTAAAATTTAGGTTTATTGATACATATATATATGTGTATATATATATATAGTGGGTCATGTCTGTGAGCTGATTTGCAAAGTATTTATGGTGAGGTCTTTTTACACACAAAATGCAGTGTACTTCAATACAAATCATTGCTTGGGACCATTAGGTATTTAAATTCCCTGACTTCAGTGCTGGTATATTCAATCATGTGAGAATATAATCCAAAGGACTGTGTTCATGGTGATCTATAGGTGATTTCCTCTCCCCAGTTGTTCCTTTCTACTTACTGACATCAATAACTGTAGCCTTGGCTCATGAGCATGGACCTCTGCATGTTTAAGTCACTTGCCATGGATCAGTTCTGATTAGTTTGTGATTTTGCCTGGGTTTTTTAATAGCTAAAGCTTTGATTTCCTGAAAACAGGAAGATTTGGGCAGTAATGGGAACATAGCAGAACTTGTTAGGTGAAAAGGGAATGTCCTATCTTAATATGGGAAATTAAAATCTTGGTAAATGACTTGACATATAAACTGCACTAGTCAGGATGATGGAGAAGAAACATGTGGCCCTGGGGACTAAATCCCCTTGTGATCCCTCAGGGGATGATGCTACAGGCTGTTGTGTGGATGTTTCTTAGCTGTTTCCTGCTAAAGAGCAGAAGGATCTGTATAGTCTGCAGCACTGTCAAAGTCCAGCTTTCAGATGAGATCTCAAATTGTGTTTCCTCAGAATGCTGTGAGATACTTAGACAAAGACAGCTGCAGAGAAATTGAAGAGAATAGCTGGCTAAAAGAAGAGGTAAGAGCATCACTTGTGTACAGGTGATCATGGTAGTTCAGTTTTGAAGCACCGTAGCCTACAGTCATAACTGGTTCCAGTGATGAGCCTCTGAAGACTTCCAAAGGAAAAGGAGAGCAATTTTCCTGTAATTACTCTGCAGTCCTGAGCAGCAGTGTATGAGGTGAATAAAGGTAAAGATGAACATGTGTTCACCAATGAAAGAATCGTTTTCCTGCCCAAGCAGTTAAGTATTTGTATCTACAGAGATAGGAATACTCTGTAAAGTCCCAGCCATCTAAGTATTTGGAGAGTGTACATTTGAATTGCATTAAAGTTCTGGTGGTCCTGTATTGAGATAAGAAAGCTGGAGAGGGAATTTTTACAAAAGCCTGTATGGATAGGACAAGGGGGAATGGCTTTAACTTGCCAGAGGGGAGGTTTTGATTAGACATCCAGATGCTCTTCCCTGTGAGGGTGCTGAGGCGCTGGCACAGGGTGCCCAGAGAAACTGTGGCTGCCCCATCCCTGGCAGTTTTCAAGGCCAGGTTTGATGGGGCTTGGAGCAACCTGCTCTAGTGGAAGAGGTCCCTGCCTGTGGCAGGGGATTGGAACTAGATGGTCTTCAAGTGTTTTCTCTCCAAGCTCTGATGTGAAAGCAAGAAAGAAAAATGCAGAGCTTCTGTCTACCAGACCTATGTGGCTATATGAGAAGGTTTTGCTCTCAGGGTTGCAAAGCCCAAATGTGTGGCTCTGATTCACAGAGTTGTGCCAGTAAATGGCTCTAATAAAGGCATGAAAGAACCAGAGAGGCCTTCCCTTGCCTGAAAATGTGTCGCTGTTCCTCAGCCTGTTATAGCAAAGTATGTGCTATTAAGACAGTCACTGTGAAATCTTTCCACAATGGGTATAGCCTTTCTAAGATGATCCTGTTATTTTTGCTTTCACTGTCAAAAGGTTAAGCTGTATCAAAAGGAAGTGAGTGATTTGAAAGCCTCAATTCAACTCCTGGAAGAAGAAAATATCGCTCTAGTGGCAAAACTGGTTGATAGCAGACTTGAGTATCTCGGAGTACCCAGGTAAAATGAAGCCTTGACAGATTCAGAAGTGATTCATCTTTTTAAAAGATGCCTTCAGCCTTTAAAGCTATTTGGGTTCTCCTACAGCAAAACCAAGGTAGTTTTCTAGTCGAGGACAAGCAGGATTTGACTGGGTATGCGTGGGACTTGTTTCTCTGAAGAATGCCTGTGCCATTGTAACCTCCTCAATACCAAAATTCAGGGAAGAAACTGGGTTCTTTACTAATCTCTTCAGACCTAATGACACTTTCTTTTAGTGGGGATACCACTGGGGCTTGGAAATAGTTTCTGTTGTAATTGCCTTGAACCAAGTGCTGAGTAATAGATTTTCCCTTTTCTGTTGGCAAAATGTTTAGGGATATGAAGATTAATATACAAACAAATGCTGTTTTGCAATCTCAAATGAAACAGATGACCTGGTACTGAGTAAGGAAGAGGCTTTGGAATAGGTCTATCTGTAGAGGTGTCTGTAGTATTATTTGTATTGAAATTATCTTGTTCCCTAGAGAAAGATTAATTTAACCCCAGAATACCAACATGAATGGTATCAAAAGCACAGTGTAACAATGGGAATGATCCATCTCCATTTTCCAGTCCCAGCCCAGTGATTTCAGCCATATTGCAGAGAAAGGTTCCAAGTCTTAGGAAGTGACCATTTTTCTCTCCTCTCCAAACTTCGGACTGCTTTTAAGTGAGAGCTGCCAGCTGTGGTTTGAATCTTGGACTGACTGAAGAATATAACATTTGTTTTCTTTTGTCTCATGGACATAGTTGAACTGAAGCACTAAGAATAAGAAAGAACAGCTTTTTAGCCACTAAGCTACCTGGCTGCCTCCAGTGCATTTTTAAACCATTGCTCTATTCTGCCTTTGTGGTTAAGGAGCAAATGGCTTTGAGAAAGGGTGTTCTCCCCCCAGAACATTGCACAGGACAATTCAGAAAGCCAATTCAGGCCTTTGATATGAGTTTATCTTTTAATTCCATAGGCATCTTGCAGCTGGCTTGCCAGATAACTTTCTTAAGGATGGAATGAAAGCAGTAGAGTATAGCGAGTATGCAGGTAAGGCACATGCAGCTTCTAAGAACTGATAAGTTACTGAACATTTATATGCTTTTTATTTCTTTATTATCAAACTGATGTTTGACAAGATGAACACTTGATTTCCCACTTAACTGCAGCCACCACAGCAATGACAGACTGTAGTTTGTGTTAAGAAGGCAAACCCACAATCTACCTGTAATACAGTCTTAAAATTGAAATTGGTGTTTAAATTGTAGAATCTAGACCTGCCCTGGAATGTGGGTACAGGACTGGCCATCTTTTATGAAGACATGATTTATATATTAATCATAGAATCACCGAATCCCAGGTTAGAAGGGACCTCAAGAATCATCTGGTCCATCCTTTCTAGGCAAAGCATGACCCAGACTAGATGTCCCAGCACCATGTCCAGCCAAACCTTAGAAGTGTCCAATACTGGGGAATCCACCCCTTCCCCAGGGAGATTATTCCAATGGCTGATCATTCTTACTGGGATAAATTTTCCACTTGTGTCCAGTCAATCTCCCCAGGAGTAAGTTGTCCCCATCACCCCTAGTCTTTCCCATGTAACTCCTTGTAAAAAGGGAGCCTCTGTCTTTTTAGCCACCCTTTTCATGCTGGAACATGCTGATAAGGTCTCCCCTGAATCTCCTTTTCTCCAGGCAGAACAGCCCCAGCTCTCTTAGCTTTTCCTCATACAGCTTCCCAGTCCTTGGAACATCTTTGAGGCCCTTTTCTGGACCCTCTACAGTCTATTCTTTACTGATCTGTGTCACCATAACTTCATTGTATCTTGCCCCTGAGAGGTTACTCCTTTCATTTGCACTGTATGTGCACTTTACATTCATTCTGACACTGAGATACACTGGAGTTACATGATAAATGAATCCCTAGCAACAGCAGATGAAGCTACACAGAGCTCAGGCTGCACTGAACATCCTGGTAAGCAGTACTCAGTTTGGGCCGAATCTCCACTTTTCTGGTAGGTGTGCCCTAAAGAAGGATGTACCATTAGGCAAGAAGGACCATGTCAGTGCACTTGTCTGTTTAGGGCATTTTCTATGGATTCCTTGGTATCACATGTTTTATATTACATCTCTGTGTAAGTAGAAGAAAGAGGGGGGAAGAAAGGACAAAATTAAATCAAAGAGTTAAGCTGCAAAAACTGAAGCCATACCCTTACGGATACATGAACAAGTCTGTTGAAGTTCTGACCAGTTTCACCCATAGGTGGACCTTTCTGGAACTATCAGGCACCAAAACATGTTGACTAAGGCTTTTGAATTGGATATATGTTTATTTTGAGCAGTTCAGTTCTATTACTTTTGCTAGAACTTTACAGTAGTTACTGGGAGAAGAAGGTTTTGTTCCAATAACCTGGAGTCAAGTCCTTGTCCCAGGCAAACTCCACATTTGGCTTGGCTTGCCAATTAAAAGTCTTCCCAAGCTGTTCTTTGCGTTGCACTGGCCAAGCCACATTAAGGATTGCAGGCAATGCTCATACCAAGTATTAATTCTGGTCTTCATAAAGCTTAACAATTCCATACACATCATTATTCTTCTCTTTAAACAGCAGAGGCAGATGGGGATGAAAGCCTCGGAAGTGCCACAGACTCCTGTCAGAAAACAAAAGCCTTTCCAAAGATTCAGTCTACATCAGACACTGAGGAGCCCCAAGAGAGTGATGAGGAGATACGGGAACAGCCACTCACTTCAACCCTCGGTAGCCTCTTTTATGAAGATGGAAAAGATTTCCAGGTATGAATTCAAGTAATTGGGTCTCTCAGTGAAACATCTTTCGGTACAGAGCATGAGTTACTGCCAGCAGGGTTCTATTCCCATTGGTGTCATGGCAGGAAAAACTCCCATCGCTTTTACCATGTGTACAATTCAGATGTGTAACAATAGGCACATGGTGCTATTTCAGGTGGTAAGGACACTCCTTTTTCTTCATATGCTGGGCCAGAAGAGCATGGGTTCTGTGTCATACCAGCCAGCATCATATGGATGGTTTGGATATCTTAGGGCATTCCTGGTACCAGAGACATACTGTTCTGGTGTCCTAGGAATCAGCATACATGAGTGTCAGGGTGAAATTCCCCCTAGAAAGAATTCTGGATGTCATCATTTGTGGATTGCACAGGCTCATTCACTTCATTCATGGTCCTTCAGAATTTATGTTGCGTAGTAGCATTGAAGGGTCAACAAGGAATGTGCTACCTCAACAGAAGACCAGGATGAAGGTGTGCCTGGGTGCAAAATACAGGGGTTGAGAAAATAAAAAGGTACAGATTATACATAAATAGGCAGAGATCTCCCAAGGCAGAGAGATCTTACTCCAAAAGAAATGGTGGCACCTGTCTTGGGAGATCCTTGATCCCAGGCTGCAAAACTATGCTTCCTGTGTGCCTTTGATTCTATACTTGAGTTGTGAATCACAGAGTCCCAGACTGGTTTGGGTTGGAAGGGACATTATAGCTCATCCAGTTCCAACCCACTGCCACAGGCAGGGACACTTTCCACTAGAGCAAGTTGCTCCAAGCCCTGTCCAGCCTCGCCTTGAAGTGAGCTGAAAACTTGAATACATTACTAAATAAACTAAGTACTCTCAGAAAATACATTGCTCTACATCATTGATTTCTACTGCAGATTAAAGCAGATGCTACAGACATGGTGCAGACTTCAGGGCTTGCTGTGTGAAGATACTTCTCCAGGTTTCTTTACCCTTGAATATTCAATTCAAACTTACTCAGTCATGAGTTTAGGGGATTTTAAAGAAAAACAGAAAACCCCACAACTCTTTTCCTAGAAATCTGCCATTAGTTTGATTAATACCCTGCAACTTGTGTTCAGAGAAATGACCCTGTTGCCTTGATCAGAGACTAACTTAAGCAGTGGCTCTGCCCTGAAAAGTCATACAGAGAAATGAACATTTAACCAAAACAGACCTCCCCACGTGTTTGTTTCCTTGCTGGTGTCACCCTGGGAGATGAATACTTGCTTTACCTCTTTCCCCCTGCTGTTAGCACTGCAGAGCCCACCCCACATGAAGGCTGTAGGTGCCGCTGACAGTCATTCCCAGGAATGGAGGTATAATTGCAGACAGTGGAGGTGCATTAGCAAGTATTAAGAACCCATTCGTTAAATAGAGGTGATTCAACAGTTGCACTGTAGCGTTCCTCCTTCCGCCTCCTGGCTTTGGCCATATGGTGCTGCTCCTGCCCTTAGGGAACCCGTAGTGCACATTGGCCTTCCTGTAGCTGATTCACTCATAAACCCAGCATCAAAACTTGCCTTTTCCTCTCCTCCTGAGTTACTTTTCTGTTGGGTTAGTCAACCCAAGTGAGTCATAGGTTTGGAGAAGACCAGCGCCTACACAGACGTGGTGGAAGCACGTGGCTGGACTTGGAGCTCTCTCTTCTGGCAGCAGTGAGCTGTTGGATTAGTTTAATTCTTCTCACAGACCTGAACTTGAGACAGAATGTGCTGTTCAGAGAAAGGGATATAGGTGAAATCACACAAGGGAAGAGGAGGGCATTAGGGCTGCAGCCTCCTAAAATGAGCTGTCTGGTAAACCAAGCCTGTTAACACAAACACTGCCCAACATACAACCCCAGGGCAGCATCTTTACCATTGCTTTATAAAGGAAAATTACTATTTTTTTTTTAAGAAAGCTGCTTTTCCGTGTAATTGCACAATAATAATATTCTTTCTTCCTAAGGAACACTTAAAACTGGCTCCTCTGGAGACAACGCTGATGTGTGTGATTGGAAAAGCTATGCCTATTCATAAACAAGCAGAAGAAATGCCAAGCAGAAGGGGCACAGAAGACAGCATGGCTCATAAATCAGACAGGCGCATCACAGCTCGGATGATCAGGGCTTTATCTAAAGAAAAGGTTGGTTAAGAACAGACAAGCTGTGCTGTTAACCTGGGACTGTAACATTCTCAGTTCATTAAATATTTGCTCTGTTCTTCATGGAGCATGTGGCACTGAGCTTTGTGAGAACGCTTTTTGGTGCCTGAATCATGATTTACACGTTTAAGTTTAACACTATGTATGTCTGCGTGCAGATGGGCATGGAGAGGGTGCTTTCCTTACCAAAGAGAGAGCTCTTGTGCATTTTATGGGCTTCTCAGTCATAGAATCACAGAACAGTTTGGGCTGGAAGGGACCTTAAAACTCATCCAGTTCTAACCCTCTGCCACAGGCAGGGACACCTTCCACTAGAGCAGGTGGCTCCAAGCCCCATCCAACCTGGCCAGGGATGAGGCAGCCACAGCTTCTCTGGGCAACCTGTGCCAGTGTCTCACCACAGTAAAGAATTTATTCCTAATGTCTAATGGGAAATGTTCCTGATTTTCTTAATATATTCTTTGGAAAAGTCTGATGAGTCCATGTAGCTGCACATACATCTAACAAAGGATTCAGGTTAATACTTATTTTAAGTGGTCCCCACTTGCAGTCTGTCAAATGTGGAATGCCTGCTGGATAAGACCCCGAATGGGTAAATGCAGGCTGCCATAGAATGTACAACTGTTGCAAAATACTTCATACTCTGCTAAAGCCAAATCTAGTCTATCCAAGTATAATTCAACTATTGTTAGCAATTAAATGTTTGAATGCCTTTTATCTGTCTCCATAACCCCCTACTTAAATACATTGAAATAATAAAAAAATTGAAAAAAAAAATTAAATAAGCAGCATAAAAATCATCAAAGTCTTCAATATATTTCAAAATTGGCCAAATATGCTGTCTAAGGCTGCCTTTGGTTTGTGGCTGGTCTCTATGAAAACACAGTACTTGCAGCACTGTGTGCAGTTCTGGTGTCCTCAACATAAAAAGGACATGGAGCTGTTGGAGCAAGTCCATAGGAGGCCATGAGGATGATCAGGGGACTGGAGCACCTCCTGTATGGAGATAGGTTGAGAAAGTTGGGGCTGTTCAGCCTGGAGAAGAGAAGGCTGTGTGGAGACCTCATAGCAGCCTTCCAGTATCTGAAGGGGGCTACAAGGATGCTGAAGAGGGACTGTAGTGGTAGACAAGGGGTGATTGGTACAAACTTAAACAGGGGAAGTTAAGGTTAGATATAAGAAGTTCTTTACTATGAGGGTGATGAGGCACTGGAATGGGTTGCCCAAGGAAGTTGTGAATGCTCCATCCCTGGCAGTGTTCAAGGCCAGGTTGGACAGAGCCTTGGGTGACATGGTTTAGTGTGAGGTGTCCCTGCCCATGGCAGGGGGTTGGAACTGGATGATCTTAAGGTCCTTTCCAACCCAAATCATTCTGTGATTCTATGATCTCAGTGCATTGATTTGGTGGGGTTTTTCCACTCTCACTGCACATCCTGGACACCCTGCAGGCAGACACAATGCAGTGTGTCCTGTGTCCCACAGGCACAGGCAGCCTTCTGACCTGCGCATTTCCCACTTACAAACTTGTGAAAGCATCGAGCAACCTGATTAGACCCTTGATGGATCAACCGCTGTTAGGAATCAAGTGTCTGAAAAACTTCAACATTTCAAACAATCTGTATCTACCCCCTGTCTCAGTGTAGCCTGCAGTTCAGCACAAACCTTTCTGGTTTCTGAAGCAAGCTCATGCCCAGCAGGCATCTGTATGAGACACTGACTCCAGCTCCTCAGACACTGGGCTCACAACCAGGCAGGTACAGGAAGGAGCCTTAACCTCAGACTGAATCTCTTGTTGATTGCCTTGTAGTAAACAGCTAAATGAGTTTGGACAAGTCCCTGCTGTAACCCAGCTGAGTTACTGCAAGCCTGAGATGATCTTAGGGCTCCAGTGGCCATAGAATGGGGATCCCTGTGTGCAAGGGGGTCATGTTTTAAGCACAACAGACACCCCCCATGAGCCACACTGGCTTTCTTGAAGTGCAAGCCCCAGGAAATGGCTTCTTTGAAAGAGATTAGTTCTGCTCAGTGATTGGTTCAGTTTTTGGTCTAGTTGCAGAATTAGAATATGGGTTATGCTGAACAGATTTTCAGTCAAAGAAAGGCCTGTCCTCCTCCCCCCATTCCCCAAAAGGCAGTAGGGAGATTTAGATTAGATATAAGGAAGTTCTTCCCTGTGAGGGGGTGAGGCACTGGACCATTCCATGATCCCCTGCAGCTCATACCTGCATGACCAGACCATAAAGTGAGGGGATCTAATTGCTTGACCCTACAGGGAAGTTGCTCAGGGGGTTCAAACCAGTGCTGTGCTGGGGTAATCAGGAATCTGGCTCACTTGAGGAGGTGCAGCCCTGTAGGACATACCACTGCACCATGCTTTGTAGGATTTGATGGGTTGATGTTTCTCAGTTCCAGCACACAGACTTCAGTTCTGTTACAATGGCTTTTACTACCACACATACACAACTTGGGTGATGCTTGTATTTCCTTAACTTTAATTTAAAGGTATTTCATAACATGAGATTTAAGGGTGACTCCTGTAGGTTTTGTTCTAACTGCAGTAGTGAGCCCTGACTCCCATTGTTTGAACAGGAGGTGGAAGCATGGGCTGTACTGCCACAAAGTGCACTGCCATCAGCCTCTGCTTTACATGTTGCTCATTGCTGAGAGCTTTTGCCAGTAACAAATTCATCAAATCCAGATGTCTCAGTGGCTGAAGACCCAGCTTTCCCCATATGAAAGACTTACACTGGCCTTCATGCTGATCCTGTAGGAATCAAGGGGATTTGGGACACTTCACTAAGCATGTTTTGCTTCAGGCTGCTCCCTCTGGCTCATGCGACTGCCTGTGGCTTACACCCAAATTAGTGTGCCTCACATTTCTTTTTAACTCCCTCTCACCCACTCAGGCCTCTTATGGGAAAAGGCTGAACACAAACTGGAAGAGGTGAAGGTACAAGTTTATGTTGTCCTGCCCACAGGCATTACAGGCAGAAGCAAAGAGATGGGCCCTACATACACTAGAAAATGTAAATCATAGGATTTCAGGCTGGTTTGGGTTGGAAGAGACCTTAAAGCTCATCCAGTTCCAACCACTGCCACAGACAGGGACACCTTCCACTAGCGCAGCTTGCTCCAAGCCCCTGTGTCCAACCTGGCCTTGAACACTGCCAGGGATGGGGCAGCCACAGCTTCTCTAGGCACCCTGTGCCAGCGCCTCAGCACCCTCACAGGGAAGAGCTTCTGCCTAAGAGCTCATCTGAATCTCCATCTGTCAGGTTAAAACCATTCCCCCTTGTCCTGTCCCTACAGGCCAGAAGCAACTCTCCAGGCTTCATGTTGGCCCCTTTCGGTACTAGAAGCTGCTCTAAGGTCTCCCCGGAACCTTCTCTTCTCCAGGCTGAACAACGCTGGCTACTTAACTTCTGGTCTGGCTGTGGAGAGGTTTGCAGCCTCCACCACAGCCAGGTTATACAACAAGGCAAACGTTCCACAGGTTCAGACCTGCATGTTTTGGGTAATGAGGGTAGGAGACTTGTTCTGCAGCATTTGTTCTGGTTTGGCTGCTTCCTGAGGGAGAAGTTACTAAACACTCTGCTCCTGTGGGCTGAAAGGAGTTTGCCAGAATAAGGTCAAGGCAGAAGGTAATGGACTGTAAAGTTACACTGCAGTGACAAGCAAGGAACAGGGAATCTGAGGGTGTTAGTGCCTCAAACCACTGATGTTTTGTAACTGGATGTTCCTCTGAAAACGACTTGTCCTTGGAGTTTAAGTGGACTGTAAAAGCACGGATGTTTCTCTGTAATACAACACTTCAGAGCTCGTGTTTGGTAGACTACCCCAAACACGGTGTTGTTTTAGGACGTGACATGGTAACAAGATGCCAACAACCGTTCCCATATCAAGGCCAGGTTGGACTGGGCTTGGAGCAAGCTGCTCTAGTAGAAGGTGTCCCTGCCTGTGACAGGGTGAGCTTTAAGGTCCCTTCCAACCCAAACCATTCTATGATACTTTATGGTCCACCACCCACCTCCAATGAGCCATGGAAAACTGGGACTTGACATGGTGCTGGATCTTTCCCTCACTTTTAGTGATCAAAGTGCAGCAAGAGGCTATAAAAGCCTATAAACAAATGTAATGCAATATCAAATAATGCTTCTCTAGAAAAACAGGACTTGAGCACTTGCTCAAGTTGAGCAGTTACCACCAAGATCCACACAGTGAAAACAAACCCAAGACCCCGCTCTCTTCCCACACTGCAGCTGCCGGATACCCAGAGCCACGTGCTTGCATCCAACAGCTTCTCAGCACCGTTATCAGCTCTCAAACAGGACTTGTAAGGGAGCCAGCTGGTTGTTCCAAGGCTTTTGATCTTTGTCTCAGGAAGTGTCCTCAGCAGATAAGCAAGAATAGAAACAAGAAACATGCTTTACTCAACTCATCGACTGATTTGGACTGAATGATCTTAAAGATCTCTTCCAACCTAGTTGATTCCATGATTTGTTATCTTGAGCAAGACATGTCCCAAGACATCCCACAGGTGAGATGGATGTGGTATTTACTCAGCCTTCAGATACAACAGGGTGCCAAGTGGGTGTCATTAATGTTGCACCTCCAGGAAACCTGCTCTGTGCTCTCCCTCACTCTGATCTGGCCAGGTCAGAGCCCGTTCCTGTTGGAACATGGAAGCTCACAGGTATTTCTTGGTGGGCAAATCAGCAAGAGACATCAAGACTTTCTGCTCTCTCTGCCTCAGCACAAGCGAGCTGCAAAGATCAAGACAAAAGGTTGCCAACAGGCCAAGGAGAAGGCTCTTGGGTTGTTTACACACGCTCCCATTGATGCTTTGTCTTCTGCATTCGGCACATTACTTCACTACCCCTCACATTATCTTGTTAACCTTCCGCCTCCATCAGCATTTACTCTTGCAGTCATGAGAGGCTGAACCCACCAGCTGGCAGCACATAAAGTGAAGACAGCTTTTAAATGTTTCCTGAGGTACAGTTCTGTTTGTGACTTTGGAACAAAGAACAGAAGCAGCAAACAAATTGAGATTTGC